GGCCCAAGAGGTCCCCGACACCGCCCTAAGGCTGCCCAAGAGGCTCCCCAAGAGGGCTCCAAGAAGGCCCCAGACGGTTTCGACACGGCCACAGAGGCGCCCAGGACGGCCCAAGAGGGCCCCAAGGCAGCCCAGGAGGAAAGCCCAAGTGAGGGAACATGACCCCGAACTGCGAGCGTTCCTCCCCGAAAGACCCCCAGAAGGCCCCAAGAGGCCCCCACGAGGCCTCCAAGAGCTGCAGAAGATGCCCCCCAGAGGCTCTCAAGAGGCACGCCCGACGCCGCACAACGGCCCCCAAGAACCTTCAGAGGGGCAGCCTCCCAAGAGATCCCAACGAACATCCAGAACGTCTCTGACTTACAACTCCTTCTTCCCTCGGCTCCGGTCTCCACCCCGTGCCCCTCCCTCTCCCGCTGCTCCTCCCCTCTTCCATGACTTTCTCATCCGCGTTCCCCACTTCTACCTCCTCCACCTGCAGGCGCGGCGTTCTCTTTGTCGTCGTCGTCGTCGTCGCCGACGGTGGCGCGACGTCGACGACGACGCCGCCGTGTTGTCGCCGACGTCGTCGCCGTCCTTGCGTGGGGGGGCGGCGCGCGAGCTCCGAGGGCAGCCGCGGCTCGGAGCACGAAGCTCAGGTGACCGGGGTCCGTCGTCGTCGTCGTCGTCGTCGTCGTCGTCGTCGTCGTCGATGTTTCTCGTCTATTCCGTCGTCGTCGGTCTTCGACGGCTTTCTGTGGTTCCTGCAGGCTTTCGGAGGCTCTCGGAGGACTTCGTCTTCTCGCAGCCTCATCGTGGAGTCCCCGTCGACTCGCTGGCCCTCGTCGCTCCCGGTTCTTCTCGTCGTCGTTCTCTCGCGTCCGGAGACCTTCGGGCATTTGGGCCCCTGCCCCCAGGGAACGCCCCCTGTCGGCGGCGTGCACGAGGTGATGTGCCGATTTTCCACCACCGCTGCCACAGGTAGGACAGGGGAGAAGGGAGGTCCTCCTCCCCCTCCTCCTTTTCCTCCTCCCTTGCCTCCTGCTCCTCCTCCTTTTCCTCCTCCTCCTTCTCCTTCTCCTCCTTTGCCTCCTCCTCCCCCTCCTCTTCCTCCTCCTTTTCCTCCTCCTTCGCCTCCTCCTCCCTGTCCGACCTGGGACAGTGGCGGTGGCAAATCGGCCCATCACGGGGGGTCGGGGCGAGGGGAGGCGGCCTTATAGGGTGCTTCTCAGGCGCTGCCCCGCGGGGGCCTCCCCGGACAGCCCCTCCCCGAAAGCCCCCAGGAGGGCCCAGGGTCCTCCCCGCGGAGGCCCCCCCCCTCCGGGAGGCTCCCGGGAGGCCCAGGATGGAGGGAGGAGGCCTCCCCGCGGAGGCTTCCGCGGAGAGCCCCTCCCCCCGGGGGCCACGCGGGATGCCCCCTGGACATGCCCCCGCCCCAGAGGCCCCCCAGGGGTCTCCCCGGAGGCTTCGGGCCGTTCGAGAGAGGAATGAGGACGATTCTGTTCGTCGACTAGATAGTATATTGTTGTTGTTGTTGTTGTTGTTGTTGTTGCTGTTGTTGTTGTTGTTGCTGTTGTTGTGGTTGTTGTTGTTCTTGTTGCTGTTGCTGTTGCTGTTGCTGTTGCTGTTGTTGTTGTTGTTGTTGTTGTTGTTGTTGTTGTTGTTGTTGTTGTTGTTGTTGTTGTTGTTGTTGTTGTTCATGTGGTTGTTGTTGTTCATGTTGTTATTGTTCTTATTGTTGTTGTTGTTGTTGTTGTTGTTGTTGTTGTTGTGGTTGTTGTTGTTGTTGTTGTTGTTGTTGTTGTTGTGATTGTTGTTGTTGTTGTTGTTGTTGTTGTTGTTGTTGTTGTTGTTGTTGTTGTTATTGTTGTGGTTGTTGTTGTTGTTGTTGTTGTTGTTGTTGTTGTTGTTGTTCATGTTGTTGTTGTTGTTGCTGTTTTTGTTGTTGTTGCTGCTGCTGCTGTTGTTGTTCGGCTGAAGGTCTTTTGGTGTTCCGTTCTGGCCCAGGACCCTCCGAGATGAGCCACGAAGCGCCCAGGATGGCCGACTACGCTTCTAACTCTTGATCGGGCTCCCAAGAACAGCCGAAAAGAAACCTAAGACCCAGGGGGTACCAGGCAGCCTGACAGCGCTCGAAGAGAGTCCGAACTGCCCGAAGACCGCCCAAATGGCCTTGGTGCCAACACAGAAGATGCCGAAGAGGACCAAGAGGCGCACATTCATATCTCCAGTTGAACTTTTATAGAACATAAAAACGTGAACGTTAGGGGCAAATGGGGGCAGCAGGCGATGCCGTAGGGGACTTGGGCGTTGTGGTGGTGGTGGTGGTGGTGGCTGTCGCTTTTGCGCCGGTAAGAGTGTTGGCGATGGTTGAGATGGTGGCAGTGGCGATATCGTGGTGATAGCAGCTAGCAGTTGTAGCCGTAGTGATCGTCGTACACGCAGAGGTTCAACCAATTGTGTACCGTAGTGATCGTCGTACACGCAGAGTGTTTCTCCACCTGCTCCTCTGCCCCCCCTTCCTCGCACTCGGCTATATCCTCCCTCCTGCTTTCCCGCCCAGATCTTCTCCAGCTTTCCTCTGGCTCCTCCTGTGATCTCCCCATGATGCTGAGGTGGCTGGTGCGGGTCGGTGGAGAGCCCTTCCTTATCCCCCTTTCCTTTCCCCCTGCCCTTTTCCCTGTGAGGCTGATCAGGTGAGCGACCACGGTCTCTAGGCGCAGGGTACTCGTTGTCCCGTCCCTTCCGAATAGCATTTTACCCGTTCGTTTGTGCTTTTCTCGAGCAGATGACGATGATGACGATGGTGCTGCTGATGATGATATTGATGACGCTGCTGATGATGATGATGATGATTATGACGATGATGCTGCTGATGATGCTGCTGTTAATGATGATGCAGAGGATGCTGCAGCTGCTTATGATGATGCTGAAGATGGTCATGATGATGAACATGAGTATGACGATCATGACGATGATAATGATGATGATGATGATGATGATGATGATGATGATGATGATGATGATGATGATGATGATGATGATGATGATGAGGATGAGGATGATGATGATGATGACGATGATGATGATTATTATTATTATTAGGGTCTGCTGCTGGGGAGGAGGAGGAGGAGGAGGAGGACGGTGACGGTGATGGTGATGTTGGTGATGATGATGACGATGATGATGATGGTGACGATAAGCACGATGATGCTTCTGGGATGCTGATGATGATGAAGATGATGATGCTGCTGATGCTGCTGCTGATGATGATAATGATGATGGTGCTGAGGATTATTATCCGATGTTGCTGAGGAAGATTACGATATCTATGATGACGATGATGATGGTGGTGGGGCCGATGGTGGTGATGATGATGGTGATGATGGCGATGAGGAGGATGCTGATGCTGCTGCTGATGATGATGATGCTTCTGATGATGATGATGATGTTGATTGGGTTGTGGTTGTGGTGCTGTTGGTGGTGATGATGGTGATGTTGCTGATGACGATGATGATGATGATGATGATGATGATGGTGATGGTAATGATGATGATGATGATGATGATGATGATGATGATGACGATGATGATGACTATGATGATGATGTTTGGGTGAGTGTGGTGAGCATTATGATGATACTGATGGCTATACTGATGCTGATGATGAAGGTGATGCTGATGATGGGTATGACGATGGTGATGGTAGTGACGACGTCAATGATGATGCTGATGCTGACAATGATGACGATGGTAATGGTGATGGTGATGATGACGCTGGCTGTGATGGTGATGATGGTGATGATGATGATGATGATGATGCTGGTTTGGATGAAGAATCTGGTGATGCTGATGATGATGACGATGATGGGGGTGATGAGGGCTGATGATGATACTGATGATGATGATGGTGCTGATGATGATGATGTGGATGGTGATGGCCATGATGATGATTCAGATGATGATGCTGCTGATGATGATGAGGATGTGGGCGATGATGATGCTGATGATGGTGATGATTGGTGATGATGACGATGAAGATGATGATGATGATGATGACGATGCTGATGATGATGCTGCTGATTTTCATGCTGATGCTGATGCTGCTGCTGCTGATGCTGATGATGATGATGATGATGTTTGGGTGGGTGTGGTCAGCATTACAACGATACCGGTGGTCATAATGATTCTGACGATGAAGCTGATGAAGATGGGTATGACGATTGTGACGATGGTGACGACGTTGATGATGATACTGATGCTGATGCTGATAAGGATGATGATGGTGCTGGTGATGGTGATGGTGGCGGTGGCGGTGATGGTGATGATGATGGTGACGCTGGCGGTGATGGTGATGAAGATGAAGATAATGATGCTGATTTAGATGAAGAAGATGATGCTGATGATGACGATGATAGGGATGATGAGGATGATGATGCTGCTGATGAAGATGGTGCTGAAGATGATGCGAATGATGGTGATGGTGATGAAGCGAATACAGATTATGATGCTGATGATGCTTATGAGGATGAGGATGAGGATGATGATGATGATGATGATGATGATGATGATGATGATGATGATGATGATGAGTATGAGGATGAGGATGAGGATGATGATGATGATGATGATGATGATCATGATGCTGATGCTGCTGCTTCTGATTCTGATGATAGAGATGCTGCTGCTGATGGTGATGATGATGATCATGATGGTGCTGACGATGCTGCTGATGATGATTATTATTATCGCGACGACGACGATAATGAAGATGATGATGTTGATGATGATGATGATGATGATGTTGTTGATGATGATTGCTGATGATGATTGCTGATGATGCTGATGATGATGATGATGATGATGATGATGATGATGATGATGATGATGATGATGATGATGATGATGATGATGATGATGATGATGATATTGATTGATTGATTGATTGATTGATTGATTGACTGATTGATTGATTGTTTTCGTCCAGCGACCCGCGTCTTCGTGCCCGGCAAGCCGCGTGCCGAGTTGTGCGGGCCACCGTGGGCGTGGCCAGCCACGCCCTGGCCGTCGCCGCCAGGCCGCCGTACTGAGGCCCTTGGCCTACGCCCGGCCTCCCCGCGCACGGTCGGATACCGACTGTCAGAGAGGGAGGGGGGGGCCGCGAGTCGACGAAGACAGATCTGCGCGCAGCTGGCAAGAGGGCTAAGATCGGCGGCGAATTCCGAGCCCTACCCTCGCTGAACGGTTCAGGCAACTCGCTGGGCGGCGGAGGTGCGGCTCGGAACTCGTGGAAGACGTGGCGAGGTCCGACCCCTGCCCACGCCTCCCATCTATTCAGGAGAGTCGTGGGTTGGTGGGGGTAGTGTTTGGCTGTCGCCACCCATAATCAGGCGATCGCAAACATGGATCAAGGGGGCGTGGATTAGCGACGGGTCCCGTTTCCATGAGAAATCGCGGATTTCCGCCGCCGAACGAGGCGGCACCGGCCGCATCTCGGGGAGGGCACCTCCCCCGATCCATGGATTTGGCGACCGCGCGCCAAATCCATGGATCGCTAATCCATGTTTGCGCGCCCCCGGCATAAGAACAAGCCAGGTCTCGGAGGGGGTGCCCTCCTGTTCTTCGCCGCCGGGCTCGCCGCAGGAGGCCGCGGGGCCTCGGAGAAGGCCCCTCTGGAAAGCCTGCCGGAAGCCTCCGAGGCCTTTTATGAGCCTTCCGAGAAGGCCGCCCCCCTGAAGGGGGCTTGAGTGCTTCTGCTTGCGACCTGGAGCTGAGGGGCTCGAGTGTTTATGCCTGCAGCCCAGAGGCGTGGAGAAGCCTCGATGGGGAGCTTCTTCGTGCAACATTTTCATGAACGGGTCCATCTGAGACACTGCCATCCGCCCATGCCCCGCGCAGGGCTGGGCGCTGCCCGCCGTTGGGTGTCTGTCTGTCTGTCTGCCTGTCTGTGCCTCTGCCTTACGGCTGGCTCGGAGGGGGTGCCCTGCTCTTCGCCGTTGGGCCCGCCACACCGCGACGCGCTTCGTTCACGGTGCCTCCACGGGGTCCTCGGTCTTCTGGCGAAGGGGTTTGTGCTCTTGCCCCACGCCCTTGTCGCCCTGTTCCGGCTGTGCGCGTGAGGGCCTGAGGGAAGCAGATGTGAGAGAGAGAGAGAGAGAGCGACGAGGAGAGGGGGAGGAGGAGGGGGAGGAGGAGGGGGAGGAGGACAAGGAGGGGGAGAGGAGGAGAGAAGGAGGAGGAGGAGGAGGAGGGGAGGGAGGAGTAGGAGGAGGAGAGGAGGAGGAGAGGAGGAGGAGGAGGGAGGAGGAGGAGGGAGGAGGAGGAGGAGGAGGAGGAGGCGGAGGAGGAGGAGGAGGAGGAGGAGGGGGCCCCGTGAGTGCGGCTGGCCCTGCATTTGGCGTGTAGCCCACGTTCACCGCCCACTTGCGCGCAGAGGTGTTGCGGCTCTGCAGCTTCAAGCGGTGCTCCTGGATGCAGGCGATGTCGGGGAGGGTCTTGTCGCTTTCGAACCACTCGATCCAGCGTTGGCCAGTCGCCCAGCTATTCGAGTTGGCCGTGACGATCTGTAGCTCCTCCACCGAGGTCTCGGGCAGGCCTGCCTTCGCAGCACCTCCAGCACCTCGCTCACGGCTGTCAGCATCGCCACCAGCACGCGTAGGAGAGCTCAGCACTGCGCAGCCCCAACTTGAGAACTTGCTGTCGGCACACGCACCACCAACCAGCTGCCCCTTAGAGCCAGCCGCAGCTCCGTTGGAAATACCCATCCACTAGCAGCCGCTGCAGACCCCTTGGACATACCCATCCCGCTCGAGCCGCTGGAAATACCCATCCCACTGGACGAAGCTGCAGCCTCCTTGGAGATAGCCATCCAACCAGCTGCAGCCGAATGTGAGCTGGGGCTTCCTCCAGCGATTCCACTCTGCGGGTTCCGCGCGGCAGGCAGGCAGACACCGCTGGGGGTTTCTTCCGCATGGCAGTCTTAGCCTTCTCTGGGTCCACCCAGGCCCGCAGCGTCGACGGAGTAACCGAGGCACCTGCACACTGGTAGCCAGCAGGGAAGGCCCAGTGAAAGCAGCGTTGCCAGCATCACCTTTGGAACCATCCCGGAAGCAGCTGCACCCTTGGAGATGCCCATCCCACTGAAGCTGCATTGCTGCTATCGGTGCGCAGCAGCTGGCTCTTTCTCTTTGTTCCTTGACCTCGACTCCATAGCGCTGCGCTGCGGAACCTGTCCTTTCGGGTTCACTGCCAGCAATGGGTTTTGAGTTTTGACGGGGCTTCACGGCCGAACCGCTGGTACCGTGTCCCCACAGGGAAAGCATCTCGGCCCAAACGATCAGCTTATCGTCAAATTCGCTGCCGCTTCGACTTGGTGAAGAGCTCGGCCATGCGCTTGAGCCCGGCTCTGCCTTCCTCGACCTCCACCTTGGGAGTTGGTCTGCCCCCTCCCATCTCCTCTATGGCAGCGGCTGCTTCTTTGAGCTGGTCTTCGTGGAGCTCGAGGTCTGGCACCTGGGTGTTGACTGCCATGGGTCTCCTGGGCCAGGCCGACCTGGCTGAGGAGCAGGAACATCACCAGCTCCAGAAGCAGCGGCAGCCTTGCCTTTGGCCGCCTCCTGCTCAGCGGAGGCCTTGGCGTCGCGCACCTGCTTGATCTCCGCCAGGAGGGTGTCAGTCGATGTCTTGAGCTGCTCCACGCCGGGCTGCTTCGCAACGATCGAGAGCATTCTGCTGAGGGCGTCGAAGGCTGCCGCCCCCCATCCCTCTTCTGCAGCGCTGCCTCGGCGTTCTTCGACATCGCCAGCTCGTCCAGCTTTGAGAGGCGCTCCTCATGTTCGCGCACCTGGGGCAACTCCTCGTTATGAGCCTCCTGGGCCTGTGCGAGGAGCTCAGCCCTCTTGGCAACCCTGCTCTTGCACTTCTCGACCTGCCGTGCCTTGTTTGCCCGCCGCTGCAGCACCTGAACCAACAGATCCACCTTTGTCTCGGCTGCATGCACTGGTTTGGTAACGGCGAACCATTCCTCTGGGACCTGCACCTTCCCTCCCGATGCTTCGGCAGCTTTCTGGAGGATGACCAGGGCCGCAGCAATCCCCCCTCGACTGCAGGTGGCCGTCGTCCTTGGTGAGGTCGACGGCCTTTTCCTTGGACTGCCCGTCACTTCAGCCTGCAGATGACGCCCACTTCCCCCAGTACTGCTTCCCAGCACCCCAGTTGGACTTGGGTAGCTTCCAGGGCGCGTCGAGGAAGGTGGCCTGCCTGGCAAGGATCTTGGGCGGAACCTTGGCCCCACAAGCACGACATATTGGGCGCTGTAGTTTGTTCGGGCAACCGCCACACTTGTCCGAGCATGTCCATTGAATTGATCCTGACTCGACTTACGCCAATATCCCATGGGCGCGAGAGACAGACTGGCGGTACGCTTGGCCCCTTGACACGAGCCGCTCTGAAGCACGTGTCTGCAAGCTGAGGTCCCCCAGCTGAGCCAGAACGGCTAGGAGGAGAAGAAGGGGGAGGAGGAGGATGCGGAAGGAGGCGGATGATGATGATGATGCTGATGATGATGCTGATGCTGATGCTGATGCTGCTGCTGCTAATGCTGATGATGATGCTGATGATGATGCTGATGATACTGCTGCTGATGATGCTACTGCTGATGATGCTAATGATCATGCTGCTGATCCTGATGGTGGTGATGATGATGATGGCGGCGGTGGTGATGATGCTGATTCTGGATGATGCTGATGCTGATGATGTTGCAGATGACGATGCCGATGACGATAACGATGACGATGCCGATGATGCTGCTGACGATGTTGATGCGGATGCTGATGGTTATGATTATGATGATGATTACGATGTTGATATTGTTGATGGTGCTGATGGTGCTGATGCTCATGCCGATGCTGAGAATGATGATGTTGGTGATGGTCATGACGAGTCTGATGATGATGGTGGTGATTATGATGCTGGTGGTGATGATGACGCTTCTGATGATGATGACGATGATGATGATCATGACCATGATCATGATGCTGATGCTGATGATGACGATGCTGATGATGCTGCTGATTCTGATGATGCTGATGAAGATGATGGTGCTGATGATGCTGGTGACGATGCAGATACTGACGATGATTATGATGATGCCGATTATGACGATGATGATGTTGATTGTGCTGATGATGATGCTGATGATCCTGCTGATGCCGATGATGCTGATGATGCTGCTGATGCTGCTGATGATGCTGATGATGCCGCTGCTGCTGCTCATGAGGATGACGATGATGATCATGGTGGTGGTGATGATGATGGTGATGATGCTGCTGATGATGATGATGATGCTGATGAAGCTGATGATGCTGCTTATACGGCTGATGATGCTGCTCATGGTGATGATGCTGAGTTTTTGCGGCTGATGATGCTGCTGCTGAAGCGGATGATGCTGTTGATGTTGCTGGTGATGTTGTTGTCGAGTTGATGATGATCATGATGATGATGCTGATGCTGATGCTGATGGTTATGTTGATGGTTATGATGGTGCTGATGACGATTATGGTGATGATGATACTGATGATGCGGATGCTGATGTTGAGGATGCTGCTGCTGCTGATGATGATGATGATGATGATGATGATGATGATGATGATGATGATTATGCTGATTCTGCTGATGATGATGATGATGATGCTGCTAGTGCTGATGATGATGATGATCATGCTGCTGATGATGATGATGATGCTGATGATGCTGCTGTTTCTGCTGCTGATACCATTCTTGTGTTGCTGATGGGGTGGTGATGATGGTGATGATGATGCTGATGCTGATGCTGATGCTGCTGATGCTGCTGCTGCTGCTGATGATGATGATGATGATGATGATGATGATGATGAGGCTGATGATTATGCTTCTGATGATGCTGATGATGATGCTGATGAGGAGCTGGAGGAAGAGGAGGAGGAGGTGGATGAGGAGGAGGAGGAGGAGGAGTGGAGGGCGAGGAGGAGGAGGAGGAGGAGGAAGAGGAGGAGGAGGAGGAGGATGAGCAGGAGGAGGAGGAGGAGGAGGAGGAGGAGGAGGAGGAGGAGGATGAGGAGGAGGAGGATGAGTGGAGGAGCACCAGGAGCAGGAGGAGCATGAGGAGCAGGAGGGGTGAGGAAGGATGGGAGAGGATGCAGGTGTTCAGTGCTTCTTTTTGTTGCAAGCTCTTCAGAGATTTCGTCTCCTGAGGGGGAGGAGGATGAGGAGGCCTGGCCGGGCCTCCTGAGAGAGCTGAATCGGAACGCTTCAGAGTGAGCAATATTTCGTATTCCGCGGATTTCCTTTTGGTTCTCTGGGGCCAATACTAGGTCTCGGGAAGGCTTACGGCATGCGGACCATGCGTCTCCCCGCTGGGCGGCACCCGCCCCTTGGGTTGCAGGTGGTGTGATCGATCCCGGACACTCGGAGGGAGGAGGATGATGATGAGAGGATGAGCAGGCGGAGAACAGAGGGTGTTGGCGGAAGGGAGTGGGAGGGAGGGAGGCAGGACTCGGCTCGATTTAAGTAGGGCCCGTCCTTCTAGAGGAGGAATATTCAAGAATAGTCAAACACATGGTCTGGGGACTATTTTTTGAGTACACTTTTTTTGGTATTTGTTATTCAATCGCTTCGCTCATTCCGCCGGCCCATGGTGCATGATCGCTACTGCTTCGCCGTGGGTCCCGGGCCATTGTGGCGCCGCCGAGGAGGAGGAGGAGGAGGAGGAGGAGGAGGAGGAGGAGGAGGAGGAGGAGGAGGAGGAGGAGGAGGAGGAGGAGAGGAGGAGGAAGATGAGGATGGGGAAGGGAGGGGAGGAGGAGGAGAGGGTGAGAAGGAGAGTGAGGGAGGATGAAGATAAGTAGGAGGAGGAGGAGGAGGAGGAGGAGGAGGAGGAGGAGGAGGAGGAGGAGGGAGGAGGAGGAGAAGGAGAGGAGGAGGATGAAGATAAGTAGGAGGACGAGGAGGAGGAGGAGGAGGAGGAGGAGGAGGAGGAGGAAGGGGAAGGGGCGGAGGAGGAAGCCTCTCGTTGGCATCTTGTGTTGCTCTTGGGGCCAAACAGGGTCGTCGTCAAGATGCTTCTTTTGGAGGCCTCTTGGGGTCTTTTGAGAAGCCGTTCGTGGGCGCCTGGGAGGCACTTTTGAACTTCTGGGGCCTCTTGGGGCCTCTTTTGGACCTCCTGGGGGCCTCCTGGGGCCTCTTGGGGGCCTCTTGGCGGCATCTTGGGGCCTCTTGGGAGCCTCTTGGGGGCCTCTCGGGGCCTCCTCTTGGGGCGGAAGGCTCGAGTTTTCGGTTCGTGGTCCCCCTCTTGGGCCTCTCTTGGGGCCGTCTTGGGGCCGTCTTGGGCGCCTCTTGGGCCGTCTCGGGGCCCTCTTGGGCCCTCTTGGGGCCCTCTTGGAAGCCTCTTGGCCCGTCTTGGGGCGCTCATGGGGGCCTCTTGGGCCGTCTTGGAGCATCGGATGGCACTTGGAGGCCTCTTAGGCCGTCTTGGGTCATCATCGGCGTCTTGGAGCGCTCTTTGGGCGTCTCGGGGGCCTCTTGGGCAGTCTTGGGGACCTCTTGGGTCAGGAGGGGGGTAGTCGATTGCGCCCCTCCCCTCGGAGGCCACGATCCTCGTGAGGGGTGTCGAAAAATTGCCTGGTCTGGCGTCTCTGATCCGAGTGTCCCAGGGGTGTCCCGGGGGTGTCCCGGGGGTGTCCCGGGGGTGTCCCGGGGGTGTCCCGGGGGTGTCCCGGGGTACTTTTCGTCCTGGGACCCCCAGGGGCGGCCCCGCGCGCGCGAACTAGAATATTGTTAACCAGTTACCGTAGATCTTAGCACGCCCTTGGCCCGTTGGGCCGGCGAATTTTTCGTCGAAAATCCCCATGTAGGGGGACACGCCCGACTTAATGCTCGATGCTCAGATCAGTTTCCGGGTTCTTATGTTGTGACGCTGCTCGGTGTTCTGGCAGGCCTTGTTCGGAGGGCCGCTCGAACGGCATCGTCGACGCGAGCAGCTCGCACATTATCGGTCGTGTACTCCTCGTTCGCGCACTGCCTGGGAACACGTGCGCTCGACACCAGGTGTTTCGCGACTCTCGAGCAGCACGGCAGGTTCGTGTCGTGTCGAGGCTGCGGCGACGCCAGCGCGGGCGTTCAAGGTCGAACGCCGCCAGTTTCCCCGAATTGGTTGACGCCGAAGCATCGGTTCCAATCGGAATGCCGCGGTCAGTCACGGTAGAATGATCGCGCGGTGTCAGAAACCAATGCCCGAGTCGCCACGACATGAGTTTGCTGGGTCGATCCGGGCGATACCAGGAAGCGTCATCCGCTTACCGCACAGGTCTCAGGCCCAGGATTGTGCCTGGCTGGGATTGGTGAGGTGGTCAGTTGATGTTCCCCGAAGTACAGGGGGAGAGGCACCTTCCATCCGCCACCCTGAGGGCTCGGTAGCTGGAACTATTTGGAGGCAAGCTCAGCCAATGTCGCCGAGGCTGCACGCGCGCAACTCAGCCTCACCGCCAGGGTTCGCTCCCCGCTGATGCCTTCCCCCCTCCTCGTCCCCCCCCCTGTTTCCTCCACCTTCCCTCCTTCCTCTCCCTTGCCCCCACCCTCCAACCCCGTCCTCCCTCCTCCTCCTTTCCTCCTCTGCTGCTTCCCCTCTCCCTCCTTCTCTTCTTCCTTCTCTTCCTCCTCCCGCATCCCTTCCCTTTCTTTCTCCCTTTCCTCCCCCTTCCTTCCCCTCCCTCGTCCTCCACCTCCCCGTCCCCTCCTCCGCTTCAGCCCCATCTTCTTCCCCCCTTCTCTCTCCCTCTCTCTCTCTCTCTCCCCCCACTGCCTCCACTTCTCTGCCCTCCTCCCCTCCCCTTCCGCTCCCCTCTGTTGCCCCCCTCACATCTGAGCAGGGGGCGAACGCTGACGGTGGACCAGCTGCCAGGAACCAAGCAGCTGCTAGGACCGTCCTCGCCCGAGCGGGCGAGCGAGAGAACCACGCCTCCCTGAGTCGGCGTGCCCTCCTCTGCCAGCCATGCTCCGTGGGGGCGGCGGTGTGGATGCGTGTCAGCGACGCGCATAGCCTCGCACGCGTGCTTCTGCGTGAGCCCTTCCGCCCAGTGTGCCGCCGCTCGGTGCAGCTGTGGCTCGGGGCGGCCTCCAGACGGCCTGCCCTTTCTCAGGTTCGACAGCCTGCGCCTGCTTCCGCCCATCATTTCCAGCGTCCCAGGCGTCACGCTCCTCCTCCTCCTCCTCCTCCTCCTCTTCCTCCTTCTCCCCCTCCTCCTCCTCCTCCTCCTCCTCCTCCTCCTCCTCCTCCTCCTCCTCCTCCTCCTTTTCCTCCTCCCACCTCTTCCCCCCTAGTACCCCTTCTTTTCCCTGCTTTCCCCACTTTGCCCCCTTCCCACCCTTCCCTTTCTCCCGTTGCCTCGCTTGCCCCCTTCCCCTCTTCCCCCCTTCCCAAGTAAGCAATATGAATGAATACGCCACTTCCCTGGACCCGCGTCTTGCTTCATTGTGGTTCCCCCCTCATTTGCCCTCCGCCTTCCCCTGGTCCTCTTTTTTCTTCCGCTCCTTCCACTCCAGTTCCTGCTGCTGCTGTTCGTCTCGCCCCAGAGCCGGCCACTTTTCTGAATCCGAATATTTCTTCGTCGTTGCCGTTCCCCTCATTTCCCCTCCTCCGCCTTCCCCTGGTCCTCCTTTTCCTCCCGATCCTTCCCCTTTAGGGTTGCACGCCTAAGTCCTAAGTCCGCCGTTGTAGGATCAGAAACGGACAACAAAAAAAGGGGTTGCCGCCTGCTCCTCCTGTGCACGCAGTTCCGTTTCCCCCGATTGCGCATAACACGCAGTGGTTTTTCTGTGGGAGTCGTAGGCCGGCTATGACACGCGTCCGCGGATAGAGAAAAATCAGCGCCATGGGAAGGGATGAAGGGATAGGATGTCAGATGAGGCGCGAGCGCACCTAGCTTGCCCCCTGCCCCCTCCCCGTCCTTTCCCCTTAACCCCTCTCCCCTCCCCCAGTTTCCACCTTCCCCCCCTTCCCTCCCTGCCTCCCCCTCCTTCCCCTTGCTGTCCGCCCACGCCCGTCTCCCCCAATCTCGTTCTGATTTCCCTCTCCCCATCTTCCACCAGTCACGGCCTCGGCTGTGCCCGTCGCGGCCATTTGGCTCAGGCCAGCTCCTCGCAGGGTCGAGCGCCTTCCGCGGGGTCCCAGGCTAGTCTGCTTGCGACCCCCCCGTTGCGGCGCTGCGATGATGAAGAAACTGAAGATGAATATGAAGATGAAGATGATGATGAAGATGCTGCTGATGATGATGATGCTAATGATGATGCTAGTGATGATGCTGCTGCTGATGGTGATGCACGCAGTGGTGGTGATGATGATGGCGACGATGATGATGGTGATGATGCTGCTGCTGATGATGAGGATGCTGACGGTGATGATGATAATGCTGATTATGATCATGATGCTGATGCTGATGCTGATGACGATGATGATGATGATGATGCTGATGCTGATGATGATGATGATGATGATGATGATGATGATGATGATGCTGATGATGATGATGATGATGATGATGAAGAAGAAGAAGATGATGATGATGATGATGATGATGGTGATGATGATGATGATGATCATGCTGATCATGATGATGGTGGTGGTGGTGACGACGATGATGATGATCATGATGATACTGATAATGCTGCTGTTGATGATGATACTTATGATGATGCTGATGATGCTGACAATGATGACGATGATGATGATGATGATGATGATGATGATGATGATGATGATGCTGATGCTGATGCTGATGGTGATGATGATGATGATGCTGATGCTGATGATGATGATGATGATGATGATGAAGAAGAATAAGAAGAAGATGATGATGATGATGATGATGATGATGATGATGATGATGATGATCATGCTGATCATGATGATGGTGGTGGTGGTGACGACGATGATGATGATCATGATGATACTGATAATGCTGCTGTTGATGATGATACTTATGATGATGCTGATGATGCTGACAATGATGACGATGATGATGATGATGATGATGATGATGATGATGATGATGATGCTGATGCTGATGCTGATGGTGATGATGATGATGATGCTGATGCTGATGATGATGATGATGATGATGATGAAGAAGAATAAGAAGAAGATGATGATGATGATGATGATGATGATGATGATGATGATGATGATCATGCTGATCATGATGATGGTGGTGGTGGTGACGACGATGATGATGATCATGATGATACTGATAATGCTGCTGTTGATGATGATACTTATGATGATGCTGATGATGCTGACAATGATGACGATGATGATGATGATGATGATGATGATGCTGATGCTGATGCTGATGATGATGATGCTGATGCTGATGATGCTGATGCTGATGCTGATGCTGATGATGATGATGATGATGATGATGATGATGATGATGATGGTGATGATGATGATGATGATGCTGATGATGATGATGATGATGATGATGATGATGATGATGATGATGATGAGGGGAGGAGGAGCAGGAGGAGGAGGAGGACGAGGAGGAGGAGGAGGAGGAGGCGGGAGGAGGAGGAGGAGGAGGAGGAGGAGGAGGAGGAGGAGGAGGATTTGCCTGACATGCGCTCAGCAACCTGCTTGTATACTTTACGTGCATCCAGGAAGGAGTTAGCATGATCATTGCACATGTTGTTCCTACGGGCCGCTTTCTTGGCCTTGTGGTTCGCTCACGTGTTGCCTCGGGCATTGCATAATACCACAGGGCTCTCAGCGCCATCCTCTGAGCGGTGTGCCTTGACCTTGACAGTAACATACGTGGGCTTGCCACTTATCCTCCAATAGCCTGCGTGTGGGGCTGCGTGTCTGTTTGCCTTCAAGACATAGGCTGCACAGCAAATCACGGCTTCACAATCCGAGTGCAGGAAAGTGGCCGACGCGAGAGCAATTAGCGTAGGGACGTCATTCCGCGCACTCTTATGCACGCTGCATGGTGCTCCGCACGCGCAGTAGTTCGGGAATTCCATCGGGCACTGGACCTGAATTCCTCGGATGAGGGTGCCTCCAGCCGTGACTTCAACGACTGCCCACCCAGCCCTGGCAACATGGAGGACCGAGCCGTCAAGGCAGCTCCCGTCACTATCAAACCGCCCTTGGCCAGGAAACTTGAGGAATGAGGCCGTCTTTATCAACATAGTGAGCCTCGGGCTCTTCCACCAGCCTGCTGATGACGAGAGGAGGGGCATCCAAAGGGAGGAGGAGAAGAGAGGATCACTTGGCCTGTGGTTGAAGGCTATGGCCTCACGATCCGCTTCACAAGGGGCGCTCCCATGCCCTGTTGAAGATCGTGCCGGGCTTGCCGCACCGAGGGCATAGACCATCTGTGCTATATCCACATCTGTTCAGGATGACTCCTGTGGGATAATTGCTGGTAAAGACCTGTACCAGGAGACGCTCAAATTCCCTCTGGAACTTCTTACGAGTGAGCAGCCTACGCGGCCCGGCCAAAGGGTCCAGGGGCCTCCATTACAGATCTCTTGAGATCTGCTAAGCGAGGTCTCATGAATGGTTCTCCTCATGGCAGGTTTATGAACTGCTGCCTTAAACTCTCGATAGCATCAAGGGCTATGGTATGAGGCGGAGTACATGTGAGGTGGTGGTGAGTGCCGTCAGTGCTCTAGAGTATTGCTGGGTTGACGCTCTCCCAGCCAGCCTTCGTCATCCATGGGTGCATGTCTACCAGGGGTCGAGTGGATTTCCTAAGCCAGGTGACCAATTCAGGTGGAGCATGAACATTGTCCTGCGCAGTGCTGAAAGCTTGAGTCAGCTCGCGACCAATTAATCCGCCCCCTGAAGCAAATATCCGCATCCTGCCACCACTCCTTGCAGTACCGCTTACGGTTCCATGCTGCCACTTCGAGGGCATCGCGATCAGGTTGCAAGGACTATGCCACCTGGCCGATCTCCTGAGGTGATTGCCCCAGGACCTCTCCACGTGGTGGCCGATGACAAGGAAGTGCCCGTGTTCAGAACGTCGTTGGCCTTCCTTGCCCCCCCGCGCGTCCCCATCGTCCCGTGTGGGATGGTTCTGGCTCGATGCGTCGGGTGTGCCATGGACGCGGAGCCAAGTCATTCGCGGTTGAAGCGTGTTCTTCCTTTGAACTTTCTCTGGGTGCATTGGCCAGGCGTACCAGAGAAACTGCTTTCATACTAACTCCTTTTGGGCGCCCTGGTAGAGATGACCAGCACGCCATCATGCCAGTTTTATACTGGACGATGTGGGTACCGTCAGCGTGGGCTAACAAGCTCCGCGTCCCGTGTCGACCGCAACCCACATCCAAGTTGGATCTGAGGAAGTTTTAGAAAAGGTGTCCTCCAAGGCGGTACGGGACTGAAGCTCTCTGACATTTCGCCTTTGTTTTTCCTACTGGGTTCTCTACATTTATTTTACCCGTACATCCTCTAACTCATACCTGGTTTTGAACGGACACACCGACGTCCTCATGAGGCCTGGCATTCGTGGTTTGGGATCTTTCGTTCGACCTGGGCTTGGTGAGCGTCTTTCGCGTTTGAGAAGGAATGGGAGAGGAATGACCTCACCTAGGATGCTCTACAGGGGCCCGCAAGGGCGTGATTGCTGAACACTAGGCCTCGACCTAACAGCTGATCCCGTTTAGACCTTTTGCGCATGAAGGCCGTGTCGAGCCAGCTCCTCTCCCTCCGCCATCCTACGCTGCGTGAAGATCGCAGCAAACCAGGCTGACAGTTGGAATCCCCTGCGTTGACACTTGAGGTAGATATGGTGCTATCTTTTTTCGGATGGGGGGCATCTGGTGCAGTGGCCAGGGATGTGGATTAGGAGGTGTAAGAGTTATTTGCAGTCAGTGGACTTGTTGGTAGTGGAATTTCAACCAGCAAATATGATCGGGAACGTTTCGGGTCTAACATCATGTTCTGAACTTCGTTGCGTCCGTGGCCTCTTTGGTTCCAGTGGCGCGATTTCAGAGCGCGCCGTGGCGTCGGTTCCAGCAGCGCAGCGGAAGCGTGATCCAGTCGGGGATCTTCGACCGAAAGGGGGCCAAGAGGCCAAGAGGGAACCACGAGGGATCCAAACAGGAACCATCTTTTGCGGCGCCGACCGACCGACCGACAACCGACGGCCGCGACGACACCCGACCGACCGCTGGACCGACGACACCTGATCCACCGTCATGCCGACGGACCGACCGACCGACGACCGACGACGAGAACGACGACGACGACGACCGACCGACCCACACGACGACGACCGACGACGACGACCACCGATGGACCGACCGACCGACGCCGACGACCAGACCGTCCGGCCGACCGACCGGCCGAGACGACGACGATTGGCCCCGACGACCGACCGACCGACCGAGACGACGACGACAGACCACAACGACCTCCGATGGACCGACCGACCGACGCCGACGACCAGACCGTCCGGCCGACCGACTGGCCGAGACGACGACGACTGACCCCGACGACCGACCGATCGACCGAGACGACGACGACGACCGACGACGACGATCGGCAGACCGACCGACGCCGACGACCAGACCAGAACGACGACGACCGACGACGACCGTCGGACCGACCGACCGATCGACCGAGCCGACGACGACGAACGACGACGACGACGTCCTACGGACCGACCGGTCGACTCTCGCCGACGACCAGACCGACCGACCGACCGACCGACCGACCGACCGACAGCCCAGCTGCACGCGGACGCGCGCACGCGCGGACCAACCCCATTTGGGAGATTGGCGTGACTATAATGCTCGGAACCCCACCTGCAGCCCTTTCCCTCTCTTCCATCTGCCCTTCGTCACTTGGGAAGGCCTGACGGCGGGTGCCGCCGACCCTGAGGTGGCTGGCGCGCTTGGAGTTTCGATTCGGTTTCGCTACGGCTGGCGCGTTGGAGGAGGAGGGCCCAGTGACGACGACGACGACGACGACGACGACGACGGCGACGACGACGACGACGACGACGGCGGCGGCGGCGGCGGTGGCGGCGGCGGCGACGGCGACGACGACGCCGACGTGGGGCAGAGTCCTCGTGGATGCTTCGTGGGGCGTGGGGCCTCGCCGGATCGTGCTCGGAGGCCTCCGGGGGGCAGTTCTGGGGCCTTTTTGAAGTATTTCGGGGGCCT